CTTGGGAAAGCTTCCAGACCACGCTTGTATTAAAACGTTTAAGAATTAACTTAAATCAATATTAAGCTGGCAAGAAAATTGTCACATTTACAGTAACGAGAGAATAGTGCAAAGAGAACATAATTGTACTTTTTTTGTTGTTGACATTTGATATTTTTAAAATTATAGGGTTATGACAATATGCACAGAAAAAATATCCTCAAATTAACCATATGCAGACATTTAGCTTTGCATGACAGCAAACCATTTATTAATTATGGGTTAATCACTGCCTTGGTATTTATGCTCTTTCCACCTCAATTTGAATTCATATAGTTCTGTGCTTAAAACAGCATTAATATCAAACATGACATACCAATGAAAAAATTCCTTATATAATATCTCCACAGTTAAACACTGAACCATTCCTTTCTAGCAATTTGCCAGATGTGCATTTTCCTAAGAGTGATGGTGCTGGCAGTATGTTGTGTAACAGATACGGTATAAGAATGGGTGTCTGAATATTCTTTTCCTATTCTCTCATATTTACTCTCATATTTCTGATGATTCCTCACCCCATGTAAGTGGGAGAGGATAATAATGATGATACGTTCCTATTAAAAAAAAAGTGTCAAAGAATGTAGTAATTCTCAATAATTCTAGCATACTCCTAGCTGGTGCTAGGAGTCTACATCACTGCAAAACCTATTTTTTTTGCAAAAGCTTTTAAATATTTTAGCAAAATTGCCTTTTTATATTGTTATCTACAATTCTATCAGTCCTATAAAATACTGTAAAGGAATTAGAAAAATTCCACTTTGGGTGTTGCCAGGTTCTTGTAGTAGAGATTGTAAAGGGCCAATAATACTCTCTTTTCAGTTTACTTTGATGCAGACAAGAAAGTAACCTAGTGCAGTCACCAAAATTAGTTAATGAAGCTCTTCAATTAAGATGAATGGGAATAGCTGAACTTTAAAGTTTTAATTTAATTACAGCACACACTGAAAAACAAATTAACTACAACCAGTCACATTTTGATATGACTGGGGAAATGGTTTTCATAATTATTCATAATTATTATTATTTCCTCGCTTGATGCCGTCATGGGGTGAGGAGGCAGCAACCCACATAAAATAGTGAATTATTGCACCACATCTGCTGCAGCACACACCAACCCACAATTTCTTAAGCTTAGGTCCACATTACTGTATTTACTTACACCAAGACTAAATATGGTTGGTGTTCATATAGGTATTGATTTAATACAACTATTAATGGAGCATTTCAGAATACATTTTGTTTTTAATAAGTTTTTAATTTTACTTGTTTACTTATTAATTTTTTGGCATATCATTTGATAAAATGATCACCACTCTGTTCTGTTCCTTGCCTGAAAAGTTGTGCAAGAAAATATTGACAAATATTGTGTAGAGGTAAAAGCACTTCAAAGTTTCTTGGATTATTTTTTCACACAAAAAAAAATGGTGCTTAAAATCATCTTCAGAATAAAAAAAAATGTACTACAGTATATAATCAAATATAAATATCACTAAGTCCCATGTTCATATTTTGAACACACTATCCAAATAAGCCTTATGGAATAGCTTGAAGTAATAGGAATACATATAGTTTCATTTTAATAAATATACCCAAAGACTGTAAACATATTTGTACAGCTCAGATATAGGAATACTGGAGGGCTCTAGAGTAAAACAAAGAATATATTATGGGAGACCAAAAAAATATTACAATACAAATATATTATAGAGTACACATTTCATACCTATACCATGCACCTATTTCGTATTTAAAGAAATTCATGTACAGTATAATTATTTAATGCCATACATTCTTGGCTGCCAACTATCTCTATACCTAATGGACACAAGAATCCAAAATCAACATTAGAAACAAATTCATTTATTTAATATCACTTCTTTGACAATGGAATGTCAAACAACTACAGTTCCCAAAAATATAAATAATAAAAAAAAAATAACCGCTTCAACAAATGCACAAACCAGCAAGAAATACACAAGAATATAAGGTAATATGCAGGAGTAAAAGACAGTAAAAATATTAGACATGAAGGTCAGGAAGACACTTGCCAAATCTTGGCCGCTATTCAAACAGATCATTGTCTTGAGTTGCTACAATGGAAAAAACATGGGATACTAAAACACCTGAACCCAAGACATCCACCTAACTTAACCAACGAAATCAGAAAATATGGATTATTTATGAGCTGCTACTTTTCATAGCATCCTGTATTTTGTCCGCTGGGATCATAGCATATAAAATGTGACTTGTAATCACAAGGCTCACAAAAATAAATACATGCTTGAGAAACAAACACCGAAAATGAGAATATATATAAGCAAATGGGCCTCTGAGGGACAAAATCCAAAAGGATGGCCAAATTCCAGGACTTGAAGGGTATAAGGTGACTCAATGAGAAGTAATGACAGATGTTCCACCAAGCGAATGACTGGGAAATCGCACCAACTGACCCAGTTGCTAATGGCGCTTACCAATTATTTACTACAGAAAAGTGAGATACAGCTCTTCATGACCTGCTTCCTAGCTGTTTATACCTGACATACTAATTACCTCCCCCAACATTTTAACATACTCGCCATATTTTTTTGTAAATTTGTAGATGGAATTGGCTTCAGCAACCTCTTGCTTCAACGTATTCCAATTGCCGACCATCAGTACAGAAAAACAATAACTTTTCTTAAATCTCTTTGACTCAATTGAATGTTCAACTTCTACTGATGTTCCTCTTATCCTACCTCTTTTTAAATTAAAGAGGTGGTCGTGCATGAGCCAAGCTGCAAGCCGACAGTCAAGCTGGCATCCCATATCACACATTCAGTCTTGTTGCTGATGTGCAAGTGTTAACTTCTTGCCTTCCCTAGCCTGCCAGTCAACCAAGTTATGCTTCTTCTTCAGAGAAAAAGCATAACTTGGATTTTATGACTTATGACTTTTTTATATTTTATGATTTTATTAAGCCATCCGTATGACTGTCCTGTGGAGACTTTTTTGCTAGTGCATCATCCCTAGTTTATAGAGTTCTGCTTATATGCATGTTTTTAAGCCACACTGCAGAGTGAGCTTGGCCAGTGCACACACAGAGCCCTAAGCACATGCAACCTGAACTGAGGGTTGCATGTGCATAGGGCTCCCTTTTCTAGGTGCTCCTGTTGCAGTGCCCATGCATGGCCAGATGTGCCTTCTTTCGTATGTTTGGGAGTGCATCTCTGAGAAGCCAGGCTGCTGGGGTGGAGAACCTCACTCTGCAGTAGTGCACAAGTCTTTGACTCCTATGCAAAGCCTTGTGGTTGGGGCATTGTTTTTTTTTTTGTAGGATGCATAGGGTGCATTAGGGTGCATGTGCTTGTTTATACACCATTACACAGGCACCCTTTTTAATCAAGTTTATCCTGTATGCATTCAGTGCTAGTCCTTCTAGTGAACATTCCTAGTGCCCAGGTGTCCTGCTTGCTTGGCCACCATCAGATCTAGTAACTTCCCTGAGAGCTGTGGCATGGCTTGTCAGGGACAGACCCACCAAGCCCGCTCTCACTACATGCAAGTTTGAAGGGTGCTCACTGGTTTTTCTAACTGCTAACAATCATTGTCTGTTTTTGCCATGTTGCCTGTTGGGTTGATGAATCCTTCAACCCAGAGTCCTGCAGCATCTGTCCTCTCTGGGTCTCTACCTTATCACAGCCTATAGAGCCCCTTTGGTGTTGAGGGAGCCAGTTTTGGAAGAAAAGGTTTAAATTTGCTGCTACTCTTCCTTTCCCTGCTGGTGTGGTGCACCCCACCTTGGTTAATGATCCGAAACATTTGCGGGTTTCAGAGTCAAGACAGAGCTTAGCTGTTAAAATAGTTCGGCCAACTCCAGGGGTTGCCCCCATCCACTTTGACATCGGGGACAGTTGAGCCATCCAGACAATTCCCACCAGGAATATTACTGGAATGCTATTAGTTGCAGCAAAGTCTGATCAAGACATTTCATGTATATAGAATGAATATTAATTTTGTTGCCACTATTGTAATACCTCCATGACTGTTCAGTGTTTAAATGGATGGGGACATAAGAAGTAATGAAAGATAAGATTGACAGATTGATTGAAAGATTGATCTTTCCTTCTATCACCATCCATTTAAACAATGAAAAATCATGAAGGCATTACAATAATGGTGACAAAATTAATACTATTAGTTTAATATAAATTATCTGGGTCTTAATCAACCTTCACTGCATTTAATAACCATCAATTCCATTCATGATTCCAAAACATTTATTCACCATATAAAATGTAAAAGAAAGTTACTTTTAGTTTTACAACAAATCAGATGAACTGTTGTTAACACACTGCCCAAATACTATGCAACCTCTTAAAGGTTTCAAGGACACATGAAAATAGCCACTAAAGGGCTGCATCATACCAAAACAGTACAGCACAACAATTCCAAGGCATAATTTAAATTTTGTAAACAAATTGGTTTATGTGCAATAGAAAAATTAACAAAAAATGACCTATCCAGCACCTACACTTATACTAAATAAGAAACTATACTGTAGTGCAAAAAACACCTAAATACACTATCACCATTAATGTGACACACAATACATGATGCCAAGACATGCATTTTTCACATTTTCTTTTTAAGTTTATTCTTAATAGGAAACATATAGCAAGAATGAGATTAAATAACGTAATTACTAATAGAAATAATGAACCATTCCATATGAGTCTTACTAAAGAATACATCACTCCATATTTGTTTATTTCTGGATGTCATATGCAAATAAAGTATATAAACGTATTAGTCTAATCTAACAAAACATACATTCTACACACACTAATGCTCATACCCCTAAACTCATCAATATTGATAATTGTATACAAAATCAATTACGCTTTGCTCTTTTTTTTTACGAGATATGTCATATAAAGAAAGTCCCTAGAATATTTCAGGGAAAAATAAGTAAATAAACTCACCTCTTTTCCATCCTCGATGTCATCTTCATCCCGGAACTTGACAACAGAGACTCGAGACTCATCTGGCGGATCATTGGGATCCCAGCTATCATCATCCTCAGGAGCCCATTCGCTTGCTGCAGGGCCGATGGCGGTCAAATTATCCGTGCTCAGGTCGCCAGTGCGGTACAGCCTGCCCTCGCTACCAGCCATACCACAGGCGTACTCTATAACAAGGGACGACCCATGCTGACTTCACTGACCACAATCAATCTCAGACCTGGCTGACTGGCAACATTCAGACACTTGACTGGATAACAAACAACAAAGAACTGACTGCTAGACCACAGGAAAACATTGGAGATTGAAAATAAGTTGGCAAGCACCTTAAGATACAACAAACACAAACAGATATCTCGATATCTGACAACATATAAACCACTAACCCACATTACACTGGAAGAAAATGCCATCTGAACCTGAACAGAAATAGGCAATATGAAAACTGACAAGGGTAAAAGAATACAGCCAATGATAATATGCATTAAATCAGCATACAACAATTCATTAATAAGATTACTATGTCAAAATCAGAAAAAGAAATGTTAAAATAATTTATCAAATTGCTGTATACAAATTTTACCCTGAAAACGAGAAAGTGATTAAGTAAAATATACTCCTGTTTAGTTAGCTAATGAAATTATAAAACATATTTCATATTTTCATTATGTATGCCTTTTCCAATAGACAACTATTGAAACAGCTAGCCAGAAAAAGCTGAATTATTGGTGCAGAAATTGCAATGTTAAAACTGTCATGCACCAAGAAGGTTGTAAAACCTAATCCACTCATATTCCCATTAAAACCTGGGCCATTAGTTTTTGTATAATAATGCTAGCCAAGATGGAATACTGCAAAATGTTAAGCAACTCTCAATTCCTAGTATCCAGCATTTTAATGCAAAACTAGAAATTTAAAAATTTCACTCAAAGTATTCATAAATTATTCGTTAAAACAAGATTCTAGTTTTATAATATAACCTGCCTTGAATAATAAATTCTCACACAAAAAATATTGCTAAATCAACAATAAGTGCAAACATTTTCCTAAGTCCTATATGCTTTTTTCCTAATGTAGCAATGCAACTCAACACCTACTGTACATGCAATAAATAAATAATAAATAAATGCAATAAAACCAAGAGGCAATGGAACATTTACAATCTAGTTTACAACTGAATTAGTTGTCCAGTTTATCATGAATAATTTTAAATTTGGATTTGTGATTATGATAAATAAAAATTTTAACAAATACACAGCACTCCTGATCAAACAGTCTAATTGGGATCAGTCCCCATTCAGCCCATCTAAAAATTATGCTCTAACCAAGGTTTGCCCTTTTTCACTTTCTTCTTTATCATAAAATTAGGGGGGGGGGGGGTATTTTTTACAGAAAATGATGCATCACATCTTTGTGCATCTTTGCACATATAAATTATATATATAAACAATACATTTTGAATATGAAAACAATGAAAATAATTATTTCCCTTTGCCTTTCCCCCACACAATAGCCTGCATCCCAAGTATCAAGTTTTTTTGCAAAATCTTTATTTACAACCTACATACAAGGTACGATAATATTGAATATGAGAACCTATTGATGCTCAAAGGTTTTACCCCTCATCCCCAAACTTTCCATGACCTGGCCCTTGAAGGCTATTTTACAAAAGTAGCTTAACCCTTGAGATGATTTCGGGGCTTTAGTGTCCCTACGGCCCGGTCCTCGACCAGGCCTCCACCCCCAGGAAACAGCTAACACCCAGATACCTATTTTACTGCTAGGTAACAGGGGCATAGGGTGAAAGAAACTCTGCCCATTGTTTCTCGCCGGCACCTGGGATCGAACCCAGGACCGCAGGATCACAAGTCCAGCGTGCTGTCCGCTCGGCCAGACCGGCTCCCCGGTCGGTCGAGCAGGGAGCCGGCTAACCCTTGGCATGCAGTCGTCATTTATTGATCACCTTGCAACTTTGGTCATCGTCATTTGCCAATTTTCATCACTATTGCCTAAGTTTTTATACAAATGAAGTAAATATGGTTATAATACATATATACACAAACATGTAATGGAGTTAGGCTAGTCCCATGAAATTTGTTTATTTTTAATTGTCATGTTATGAGGTTATGTTATGCATCATGGTTTCAAGACGCTGCCTTTTTGCTGCAGTACAGCTAGCCTCATTCTTCACTCACAATCTGGGATCCCGGGTTCGAGTCCTGGGAGGGATAGAAAGTGTTGGGCACATTTCTTTTCACCTAATGCTTTGTTCACCTTGCAATAAATAGATACCTGGAAGTTAGACAACTGTTGAAGAATTGGATCCTTCAACAAGGAGTGTCAGTAGTTCAGACATGGGGGAAAGGAGGGATTGCTAGCACGCATAGCGTTTCAGGTAGGACCTTAATCTTAATTTTCTCTGGAATACGACCTGCCAAATCGTTTTTACATCCAGGTAAAATTCAGCTTTTGGCTGAGTTGAAGACGCGTGGCACGTCTTCAACTCGTCGGCGGTTGGAGCGTGACCAGGTTTTTTATTTTATATGCTAATGTTCCTCTAGAGAATTCTATTGCGAACCCATTGAGACCAAAATGAAAGACCTAGGACGAAAATTGAGGTGACCAGAGTGAAAATAGTGAAAACATTTTATCGCGTTTGCGCGCTCCTGGGTAACTCATTCGCACTTTCTCTGTTTGCTGCGGGTAATTAACCGGGCTTTTGGAGTTTATATGCATTTAGTGCTGTAGAGAATTCTATTGCAAACACAATGATACAAAATTTAATCTTGTAGGACGAGAATTAAGGTGACAAAGTTGAAGAGAGTATACACTTTTCAGAATTTACGCGCGCTCCCGTGACACCCTGGGTCCCATATCGCACAGTTGAGGGGTGGCGCGCGGGGTACGCCAAAGTGTTAATTGTAAAATTCCTGGGATTTGAGAGTTGCTACAGAATATACCATTAATAATCATTACCTTAATTATACGAATAATTCTAATTATCAAAACTATTTAAATGCTACAGTAGGTTTTAAAGATCAAAAGAGCCACCACAAAATCTAAGGCCCTGAAAACACTGAATCATTCATACAATTACTTTCATATTTCACTTTCTTACCTTCCAATAGCACTAGCCAACTATTTACAGAGTTATCAGAGGGCATTTGATCAATAATATTACACATTTAGCTGATTTAACGTGTCACAACGAGTAATATATTTAACTACACTTTTTTTTTTTTTGTAATATCAACCCTAGTGGCTTTATATTAATATTACAGAAATGACTAGAAAATAAAAAAAATTTGCACTGTATAACATGGGTAGCCTTTACTTAATGTTTTGTCAAGGTCACTGACTTTTTTAAGGAGTAATATATAAAGTGAAAATAACAGCTACAGTACACACTTGTATACCCACAATCCCCGTCATGAACAACCGTTACATTTAAGTTCAGTGGCTATCCAATCATCCCCAAAAAATTGTCAGAAAGGAAATGCCAAGAGAAAACAAAAACATATGAAAGCTAATATTTGGTAATACTAGCAAATACATACTGTTCCTGAACTGACCTGAGTCAGTTGTATATAAGGAGCAGTTATTTTATGTTTGTCTTACTCTTGAGTTGGTGACCTCAACTAAAATAATGGGTTTCTGAGCTTTAAAGTTATCTTTTTCATTACTGTCTTAACCCCTTCAACTATGCATCTCATCAGGTAATGAGTGAATATGATCAAACTGTGCATCCCATTAGGTAATGAGTGAATATGATCAAACTGTGCATCCCATCAGGTAATGAGTGAATATGATCAAACTGTGCATCCCATCAGGTAATGAGTGAATATGATCAAACTGCGCATTCCATCAGATGAAGTATTTGGGAACTGCGCAAGATTAAAAAGTCCAGCACATACATGGGGTTACCTTGCAGTTACCTTTTGATGATTTCGGGGTTCAACGTTCCTGTGGCCCGGTGAGGGGTTCACATTTGCTTCCTCAAGCCTCCAGCAACTATCTCCCATCTTGAAAAAAAAAACCAAGTCCCCTCACTTTCCTTCTAGGGCTACTAAAAAGATGCAGACCATATCTGGCTTATCGCCATCCAGTGTCTGTATGTGCAGGGCAGCCATAATAGGAATCATCAAACTTTTAACAATAGAAATGAGTGATGACCATATACATATTTAGAGGCAAAATGTATATGATTTACACTATATATATTATACAGAATATATGTGTGTGTGGATAGGAAAAAAGTTTAGTGTACAAGATGGGTTCAGTTCATAATGTACGAATGATGATTTGTGAAGTGATTTGATGTTATTTTAGATTAAATGACATCTAACATGTCAACAATCATCATCAGAAAATTTTAGTACTTACAACATTTCTAGAATAGCTTAGGATTGTCTAACACTTGTGAGGGTGATGATGGATGGCCATCTAGACGTCAAAATATAATTAGTATGCGCAAAATTCGTATAAACATGGAACTATGATGATGTTGCAGATTGAATAAACTACATACCTAGAAAAATAATGAATGTCATATGTATGAAATAATGTTTTCACTTACACTAATCAATACATATCTATAAAAATTCTGTGATATAAAATATTAACATGAGGCCATGTGCAAATAGTTTTCTTTAATAAGCAAATGATGCAGAGATGAAAAATATAATACAGGAATGTATACAACAAAATGCAGTGTTTAAGCAGTCATGAACTTTAACATACAGTATGTCTATAAGGATAAACTTATTTTCTGCAACAAAATAGGCAAAATATATAAGCCTTACATGACAACTACCCATTGCTCAAAAATTAGCTACCAATGACACATTAGAATCAAACCACTAGAGATCAGCTGAACAAATGGGTCAACTCTAGAAAGAGAGAATTGGGATATATCCAGCTAATGCAATTGGCAAGGTCCAAAGCATAATTCACTATTTCAAGAGCTGTGAAACTGATCCACATGCAATAGTGCTTGTCTGAACACCTCTTTAATATCAACCATAAATGCCTAGACACCATGAAGTTGATTTTAAGAGGAAGATTAGCACTATCTACCCAAGCAGTTATTCCACAGACCCATTCATCCACCACAATCTACCTTTCATACCATACGGAATAATACAACACACATACAGACAGGATATACAGACAGCTGGTGGCAGGCTGTACACAACACTGGCTGCAAAAACATATAAGAAAACAAAGGTACAAGCACTTCTACATCTATTAATCTGATCTGGAATAAGGCATTGCATAGACTTAATAACATGCACTTTTTTACTCTGTAAACAAGTCATATTAACCATTAATCTATGCAAAACATCTATGACCATATCCTATTCAAGAAGTTAGAAGTGCTTGCTCCAATACTCTCAGTTAATCAAATAGGTACTATAATATGGCTTAAGACTGTACCTTTCATATACACAAAAATAACTTACTACTTCTGAGCAATTCTTTGATGCTTTGTATAAAAAATATCAGCTATTATATATAAATCACAGCTTTTTTATCTGCTTGACTCAGAATTCAGAAGCTAGTTTACTATGGCTATGTAAATGACTGTAAGGGGTTGAATGTCAAAAACAACTATGATAAACATCCTCAAGCATTTAAATTTTTGAGATATTGCTGACTATGACCTCTCATGATGAGCTACGATTATTAGTAGCATTCAGAAAAGACAATTCTAAAACATGCAATTAAATTTCATGAACATTAATATTAATTATTATTCTATAAGAAGTTCATACTTCTCTAAAAAAGAATTGAATACCTCTAAAGGCAAAAGGTTCTACATTATTAAATTGGATTAAAACTATGTCAAACAAAATACAAACTGTATATGTAATAAAATAAACAGGAAATAAAGAAGGAAAAATATATGGCCAAAACATGAGTACAAACCAGGCTTTAAATCTCAACTGCTAACAGTTCTAGACAAAAGTTTTATCAAGTTTTTATTACAAAAAGGGAAAAGTAGTAATATCCATAACCTGAAGATAATCACAAGTTATCTAGATATCTCTCTAAATCTAATGCAACTGTTATCATGACATATGCAATAATTATTACAAAAACCCTAGCCTATACCACATTGCAAAAATAAAAAGAAATAACTACATTAGGATACAGATGTCATTTTGTTTTTGTTTTTTTGCTTGTTTTTTAGATATTTGAAGAACTTTAATTACTGCACAGTACTCAAAAAATTGCCTCACTAGCAGGACCATTCTGCCAAATAGCTAAAGCTAATATTGATATTTTCTAATATATCTTTAAAAATTTAGTAAGTAAACCAAATTAATAAACTGACCTAAACTGATGGTCTATAATACAGGGGCCACTTTCACATATTTTAGGTGGTGGTTATGGAACAAACGTTTTGTAAATTTTATAGAGTAGGTTTCTGTGTGCAATTCATATTAATTGAATTCAATATTATACACTATATCCACAAATTCCAATAGAAAAAATGTTTTGTGTTTCTTTATAAGACAGGTCGACTTGTTTCAACAACTCAGGGGAGTCGGGGAGAGGGAGGGGGAGTGAGAGAGTGAGAGAAACGAGAGAATCTTTTTTCTTACATTACTTTCAAATAGAGTATTAAAGCATGCAAATTCTTTAAATATAAAAATTAGAGTAATTCTTTCATCTGGAACAAAACTTTAGCATGTTGTTTACACTGCATTAATAATGACACATCAGTTATCACAAATTCTGAATACAGTACTGAATTAATGTAAAATAGTGACCAGTACAACATTGATTCAATTCAACAGTATTATTTACTAAAGATCTATAATGCTTCATATGAATTTAATGTTACTCTACTTTCCAAATAGTTACAAAAATATTGCACATCTCCGAACTCTTTTTGAAGGATACTAATACAGTATACTGTACTGTAATCAGAGAGAATGAATTTTAGTTGTGTTATTTTTGCCAAGATAATACTATATTTACTATACAAAATGCAGGAGAGAAACAAAAATAAGTACACTTTGCATGATGTTGCTCACCAAGGCTCTCGTGTTGATATTCTTGCTGTGGTAATAAGAAGCACGTTAAAACCTCTTGACCTGAAGCCTCATCAACCTGGAAGAAATCAAGTATATAACTTTACAGTTTCTATTGTACCTTGAGGTTATCTTGAGATGATTTCGGGGCTTTTTTAGTGTCCCCGCGGCCCGGTCCTCGACCAGGCCTCCACCCCCCCAGGAAGCAGCCCGTGACAGCTGACTGACACTCAGGTACCTATTTTACTGCTAGGTAACAGGGGCATAGGGTGAAAGAAACTCTACCCATTGTTTCTCGCCGGCGCCTGGGATCAAACCCAGGACCACAGGATCACAAGTCCAGCGTGCTGTCCGCTCGGCCGACCGGCTCAACACATATATATAAATCTGATACACATATATATAAATGATACACATATATATAAATTCCTTGTGTAACTAATTTCCAAAGTTAAAAATCCCATTATTTACTAATAATACCATTACAAAATATGACAACATAACCACGATCTGAATACTGTATTATAAGTAACTGCAGTGTTTCCCTTTATTGACTATAATTCTTAAAAGATCAGCCAGATGAAAAATATTTTAATTAATTTTGCAATGACACATCAATTCAACACTATTATAACTAGGAATGTTTCAAATACAATCAATTGAAAATGAATCCAAAAGATATACTGTATGCCTAAATTCAAAATCTGAGGTGGTTGATCAGTTGAAAGATCACCATTAGAAGCATTATTATGAGAACATTGCAGAGTAACATTCTCAACAAATTACATCTTTTTTTGAGGGGGGGGGAGGGGGATGCAAACTTGGATCTTTATCGCACTTGATCATTAACCACAGTTGATCAATCTCCAAATCACTAACTTCAATTTTTGTTTTCATTTTAAATCTACAATCAACTACATGATAAAAAAAAAGTTCCTCTGCAAAACTTAAAACAAAAAACTGGTACTGTAGCCTACCTCAGTCTGGAAATTAAGCATAGGTTGAGCCTGGTTTTCACTAAGCCACACAGCCTTAAGGTTTAGAGCAGTGATGGTCAGCGGCAAATACTGCAACCTAAAAATATCATGAAATAGGATACATTATTTAAATTTATTCTATTCTAAAGCATCAATATTCAATTCAGCACTGCTACACAATTATCTGTATATCATACATCATTAACCAATGTCACTGACCTCAAGCCATGTGGAACAATAAATCTAAAAAACAATAAGCATTTCTGTATTTAAATATTTTCCTCTACAAAGTATTAAATTTGCAGGGAACAGAACAAGTTTTTATCACTTTAAATTGAGTATCCAGCATGGGATGTGGAATGAAGGGAAGGGCAATGTGGGATGAATGTAAAGGGGGGAATGTGAGAGAGAGAGGGATGGAAGGAAGTGGAAGGGGGGAAAAAAGAGAAGGAAAATTATGAAAAGAATAAAGTACTTACCTGTTTCCTGAAACATCAAGGACATGAAGTTCTCGGCAGTTGCCAGTTTCAGGAGGAAGATACTGTAGTCGATTGTCTCGCAGAGATAGGACACCCAAATTTACCAATTTACCTGCGATTAAAAAATAATTAATAAACCAAAATTTTTCTTTTTTTTAATTAAGTGAATTAAATCTTTTAGGATATCAAGGCCATTACTGTTAGTTTTTCTAGTTCAGCTAGCTTCAACTGAATTTATTTCTAAAACAACAGGATAAAAATCATCACATCTTACACCATCAATGAAGGTTTAACCAAGCAAGGAAACTGGGTTCATTGTTTGACTGGGTTCATAAGAGAAGTGGCTCAATGGGATCTCTCAGTGAGCCACACCCATACAATCTACTCATGAATTAAACCCATTACTGCATCCTGGAAACTGAATACTCTGGACCAACAATGTTCCAGATGCAGAGGAGGGCACGGTGGTATCTAACATGGATCAACCAAACTAAATAGTCTAATACAACACAAAAATTTCCAGTTAGTCTTGCTGTGAAGATAATACTGAACAAGGTTTGGAGCCGAGACCATAATTAAAACCTTTGCTACTGTGGCTTCCTCAGGAATAGGGAACGTGTATACAAGGGGAATTATTCTCACAGCCTCACAACAGAAAAATATTGAATAAATTTAGATCTCTGCACTACACTTAGTATTTTCTTCACAACTTGTCAACATTCTACTCGAAGTTATTCTTGCTTTATTATAAAAAGCCTACTATAAGAGTAAATCTCCATATATTTTTTCAAAGCTATTGCTACCAATGAACTGCATTACACTGTGGGTTAACATGTACTGTCCTTGAGCATCTTTAGAGCATTTATGAAAAATATACTTCAGCAGTTGCTGAAGGCATGAATGACTGTCACCCCCTCCATTGTCATGATCTACTTCTTCAGAGCAAGGGATGGAACTTGCCCAATAGTGTGGCCGAGTATCCTGCTCACGAAGAAGTTTCACATTTGCTCAGACCCTGGTTTTCTCAATCCTCTTGACTTATATTTACTTTTGACAGGCATATATCATCTTAACTAAACAAAATAATTCCTTAAAAATATCCGAATGCCATTACATAAAAGCTGATTAATTTGAGCTCAAGTAATACATGTGATTGAAACTTTAGATATGACCTGTGATGATATTTTACTGTATTATTTTCATTAAATCCACAATAGTGACATAAGCTAATCAAACAACTTATATTTAACCACTCACCAATTTGTGGTGGAAGTTCATTTAATCTGTTACGATCAACATTGAGGTTTGTAAGCTTAGTAAGGTTTCCTATAGTTTCAGGCAATTCTGTCAGAAGGTTTTCAGTTAGGATAAGTTCTTGAAGGTTCTCACACCTGTAAATTAAAAAAAAATATAAAACATTATGTTCACCAGGGACCTGACAGCTGAGTGGACAGCGCTTGGGATTCGTAGTACTAAGGTTCCGGGTTCGATCCCCGGTGGAGGCGGAAACAAATGGATAGTTTCTTTCACCTGGATGCCCTGTTCACCTAGCAGTAAATAGGTACCCGGGAGTTAGACAGCTGCTACAGGCTGCTGCTTGGGAGTCTGTAACAAAAAGGAGGCCTAGTCGAGGACCAGGCTAAGGGGATGCTAAACCCCAAAATCATCTCAAGATAACCATTACTTTTAAGCAATTTAGATAAAATTATTATTGTAGAAGATTAAAACTAGTGCAGTTATATCTCTAATGTAAGTAGTGACTAATAAAAGTCTTCTACAATTGTGGATTTATAAGAAAAACATTACTTTCATACTAATGTAAAAGTATGTAAATTGTTAAATAATGATGAGGTATGGCAGAGGTCCAAATTTGAATTGAATTTTGTAATTCCATCTGTGATATCTTCTCTACCTCAGCCTGCCTGCTAGGAGGCATGATCCTAAGTTTGAGTGTGTCTTGGTTAGCATTCAGTTAACATTTTCTTGCCAATTACATCTTTAACATTCTTAAGCAAGAATTACAAAATATGACACACACAAGATGTAGATATTTTAATACTGGAAATCTAAAACTGGACAGACAAGTTAAAAATCTTGAATGCCTTCAGAACACCAGCAAGTAACACCTGAATAAGAGAAGAACTAGACAATAAACAAGAGGGACGTGAAAGAATCACAAGATAAAAAAGAGCAGATCAACATAAAGCATGATTGCTGGTACAGGTTGACATTAATCTGAAATCAACATACTGTACAACATATGCTCGACCAGTGCTACAATATACAGAAAGTACCAGCATGGAGCCCGCACCTTAAGAAGCACGAAGTAATGATCAAGAAAGTAGGGATGGAGAAATGTTAATTCCATTCATAGTTGTAAACCCAAAAATTACAAGAAACAAAAAGGATCAGTGGGCAATGCATTAAATGACCTACAGTTGTAAATGCAAGGCCCAACAGATCAAGTTTAGTTCTATAAACTCTTGTTAGATAAGAACACACCTGAGAAAAAGGGGTATGGTTTACAAATGCTACTATGTATACTGTACTGGAAAACCTTTGTTGGGAACAAGATCCCTGTTAAGCAGTGTTTAATCTGACTGATGTGTGCATCATTCACTGCACAACAATTAAAACGATTATTCTTTTTACTTGCTTCTACCATTCTGTATACATGAACAATTTACTAAAAACTTTGTACAGTCAATTACTGTATAAATGCATTATAAATACAATTCTTGCCCAAAATCTATGCGTGGTAGTGGCTATACAAGAATGTAAGAATTCTTGTATATATAAATAAATAAATAAATAAAATGTCAAGCACAACCAGTTATTAATAAAGTTCCCAATTTTTAATATTAATATGGTTTAACAAATTATTAAGTACTTACTTGCCAATATTGGGGTTAAGGATCATGAGCCGGTTTTGATCCACCTTGAAAATAGTGAGCTTGGTGAGGGCTCCTATGCCATCAGGGAGGCTTTCTATGAGGTTCTGAGACAGATGAAGATCAGTGAGGCTTGTGAGTCCAGCAAGGCCTTCAGGCACATCTTCCAAACGATTTTCACTGACATCAAGACACAAAAGGTTCTTGAGGCGGCCAGTCTCAGGAGGGAGGTGAGATATTTGGTTGTGATCAAGCCATAACTCCTGAAGAGCTGGTAAGTCACCTATGTAAGGAGGCTGAAATATATGCATGTTACTTACCAAGTTATTAGAACATCCTAATGGTTACTTACAGTGACTATAAAAGGAATACTAACAAAAATGTAGTAATCCAATTACAGTATGCATAGGCTACTGGTTAAAACTAATCATGACCTAGAAATGGATATTGTACATAAATGTACTGTACTGTATATGCAATATTGTCTTCAATGTAGAGCAGTTTTAAGATGTTTATAACAATGTGAGACAGCACATATCACACACACATTATGCCAAGACAACCATATGCAAACTCACCAATTCCTCAATATCATTGTCTCCAATGTCGAGTCTCTCCAATTTCGTGAGCTGTGAAACTGATTCAGGTAGCCCTTTGAGCAAATTTTCTCTGAGTTCCAATGACTGTAAGTTCAGCAAACTGTAAAAAAATAAACTAAATGTGGCTCATTCGAAGGAGGGGAATTGAAAAAGATCTCGCTGGACCAGCATATCTAAACATGCAAACATGGTGAGTTAAGGAGTATGGATGCTGCAATGAGTGGTGTACTTTGAGTGTAATCACTCAAAGGTGCTAAAAGTACATTGAGTACTGACTAGTGTAATGAAAACTTACTGGTATAGCAAAAACTGTACATGAAGTGTAATAAACACACAGATTGTAATGAGTACTGACTGGTGTAACAAGAACATAGGGTATCACAAGTAATGCAAACAGTACAGGGAGTGCAATGAGTATAAGGGTGAAAAGAAGTGACAATTTAAATGAATACAGGAATTGTACCACTGTACAGGCCCACATATCCACAATAGTCCAGTTTGTCCAGCACTTCCTGAAGAAAACTACCCAGTTTTCTCTTGAAGACATCCACATTTGTTCCAGCAATATTTCTTTTGGTCGCTGGGAGGATGTTGAACATCCATGGACCTCTGAAGTTTTTACAGTGTCCACTGATTGTGCCTAAGACACCCCTGCTCTTCACTGGTTCTATTCTACATTTCCTTCCATATCGTTCACCCCAGTATGTTGTTATTTTATTGTGTAGATTTGGGAGCTGGCCCCTCCAGTATTTTCCATGTGTATATTATTTGATACCTCTTGTCTTCTAGGGAGAATATTTGGAGAGCTCTGAGATGATCCCAATAGTTTAGGTGTTCTATCATGTGTATGTATGCTGTGGATGTTCTCTGTATTCCCTCTATTTCACCAATTCTGCTCTTAAGGGGGAAGACCAAATTGCTCATGAGATACAGGATGATTGTGATGGCACTGAGCCACTGCTCATTTGGGTAGTTATTTTCCATCTTTGTCCCCTTGTTCATGTACCATCCACTCCAAATACTGTACAGTAATTTCCTTTTCTGCCCTGTAAATTTTATGAAGCTATCATGTCTCCTAATTTTTGTCTTCTAGTGACAAGAGATTTAATTACTGTACTTAAGACTTTCTTCATAATTAATTCCTCTGGGATGGGAGAGATGATTGACATCAATCCATAACTGTTAGCCTATGTTCACCCAGTAATAATTGTGAACCTGGTAGCAACCCAAGTGGCAGATTGTATTCCAGGGAAAACTGGTAGGGTAATACTTAAGGGTAAGCTTCCCATTCACCAAACACATTCCTATTCCTACACAGCGGGCCAGAAATGAGTACATCAGAGTGAGGAGGGAAGCAGAGAGACAGTTTGAAAATGACATCGCGAGTAAAGCCAAGACCCAACCAAAGCTGCTCCACAGCCATATCAGGAGGAAAACAGCAGTGAAGGAACAAGTGATGAAGCTGCGGAAAGGGGAGAACAGATACACAGAGAATGACAAGGAGGTGTGTGAAGAACTCAACAAGAGATTCCAGGAGGTCTTCACAATAGAACAAGGAGAAGCCCCTGCACTAAATGAGGAGGCGGCAACCTTGGAAACCTTGGAGGAATTTGACCTCACCAGTGATGAGGTCAAAAGGTGTCTGCTGGAGCTAGATGTGACAAAGGCTGTTGGGCCTGATAGAATCTCACCATGGATACTAAAGGAAGGTGCAGAAGCACTAAGTGTGCCACTCTCTATGGTGTATAACAGGTCACTGGAAACAGGAGACTTACCAGAAAGTTGGAAGACAGCTAACGTGGTCCCAATATACAAAAAGGGTGACAGGCAAGAGGCACTGAATTACAGGCCAGTTTCCTTAACTTGTATACCATGCAAGGTGCTGGAGAAGATCGTGAGGAAAAGGCTCGTAGAGCATCTGGAGGGAAATAACTTTGTAACGCACCACCAACATGGGTTCAGAGATGGTAAATCGTGCCTCACAGGGTTAATAGAATTTTATGACCAGGCAACGAAAATTAGGCAGGAAAGAGAAGGGTGGGCCGACTGCATTTTCCTGGATTGCCAAAAAGCCTTCGACACAGTACCCCATAAAAGGCTGTTAAAAAAGTTGGAGCAACAGGCAGGAGTAAAAGGGAAGGTGCTCCAGTGGATAAGGGAGTACTTAAGCAACAGGAAACAGCGAGTAACGGTGAGGGGAATGACATCAGAGTGGCGAGATGTCACCAGCGGAGTCCCACAGGGCTCAGTACTTGGACCCATCCTGTTTCTAATATATGTGAACGATCTTCCAGAGGGTATAGACTCATTCCTCTCGATGTTTGCTGATGATGCAAAAATTATGAGAAGAATCAAGACGGATGAAGATAGACAGAGACTACAGGATGACCTGGATAAACTGGAGGAATGGTCTAGAAAATGGCTGCTGAAGTTCAACTCTGGAAAGTGTAAGGTGATGAAATTAGGCGAAGGGAGCAGGAGGCTGAACACAAGGTATCATCTGGGAGGGGAAATCCTGCAAGAATCAAATAGAGAGAAGGATCTGGGGGTTGATATCACACCGAACCTGTCCCCAGAGGCCCACATCAAAAGAATATCATCAGCGGCATATGCTAGACTGGCCAATATAAGAACTGCCTTCAGAAACTTGTGTAAGGAATCTTTCAGAACCCTGTATACCACTTATGTAAGACCAATCCTGGAGTATGCAGCTCCAGCCTGGAGTCCATACCTAGTTAAACACAAGACAAAGTTAGAGAAGATTCAGCGGTATGCCACCAGGCTCGTCCCGGAACTGAGAGGATTGAGCTACGAGGAAAGGCTAAAGGAGCTGAACCTCACATCCCTGGAAAACAGAAGAGTAAGGGGAGACATGATAACCACCTACAAAATTCTCAGGGGAATTGACAGGGTGGACAAAGACAAACTCTTCAGCACGGGTGGGACACGAACAAGGGGACACAGGTGGAAACTTAGTACCCAGATGAGCCACAGAGACGTTAGAAAGAATTTTTTCAGTGTCAGAGTAGTTAATAAATGGAATGCACTAGGAAGTGATGTGGTGGAGGCTGACTCCATACACAGTTTCAAATGTAGATATGATAGAGCCCAGTAGGCTCAGGAATCTGTACACCAGTTGATTGACAGTTGAGAGGTGGGACCAAAGAGCCAAAGCTCAACCCCCGCAAGCACAATTAGGTGAGTACAATTAGGTGAGTACAGCCTCTTTCTCTTCCCACTCCTTATATATGTACTTGTAAGCAGAAGCAGCATGCAATCACAACCTAAACAAAGTAAACATGTGCAACAGGATGGAAAATCATTAAGTTCTACAATAAGGAGGCAGGAAGGCAGAGACTCACCAGCCGAAGTCGTAGGGCAAGTTGGTGAGTGACATATCGTTGAGCCCCAGCACAGTCAGGTTCTTCAGCTGGGTGAATCCACCAGGTAGTCTGAAATTATAACATTATCAAAAATGCTATTTTAATTTACCATATTTATACAAGAATGTATAAATTCTGGCTTTGGCCTTATTGGGAGGCCAAAGCACAAGAGCACAAACATGAAAAAATTGTTCCTCATAATTCCTAGGATATATAAATTACAAAATATTAGGCAGTGCAAGTCATCATTCAAATTTTATAATATATGTTCTGCCAATATGTCACCTATAAAATTGTAAGCCATTTTTTTCAGTTTGAATATAAAAATTTAAATTCCTATGGCTGAACACCTCTTCAGTTTAGTTTCAATTGTAAAGATTTGTACAAATCAAATGAAGTAATCAAGCTCATATACCTGTATACAAGGCAACATCATGTCTCACATATTGAGTAGATGTAAAATCTTATGTAAAATGTTCCATAAAGTCCAGTTATTGCTAAAAAAATATCAAATAATATTCACTGTTTTCCTGCACTTTATGCATCGATTCGTATTTCTAAAACATAGTACATGGGGGTGAAAAGTGTAATAGTAAAAATGGTAACACCTGACAATGCACTCCGGCCCATGTCACAATTTAAGACAACTGACTAACAGCTCCTAACTCCTTAACACATGGTTATAAAATGTCTCACAAGCCAGATGCATGTATAACAAAATTGTTGCGCATGGGGTCAATTTAATATATATTCCAGCTTATATGCCTCTGAATATATGGATTCTTTGTGGTGGCTCGGATTGTCAGCGCCCCAGTGGTTAACTGTCATCAGACAAGCTATTAGTGCCTGCATCTTGCAGTGTATGGTAAGCACTGCAAGAAGAGTTTAACAAGCTTTTTCTTCAACAATATTAGATGTGTCCTAATAACTTCATTCATATTTATAGGAGGGTGATGGTGATAGAGACTTGGGCCCTTTACATTTATATAATTATCTGAGTGTGCTTCTTGTAAACCCATTTTGCCCATGCTAACATGCCTTCTGATCTTGTAATGAATTATTATTGAGTAAAATTTATCCCTCTTGATATTACCAACATGTAGCCTATAATCCTATAGGCTATACTATAGCTGTAGCCTATATGTAGTCTTGCCTGCACCCCAGGAAATAAAATTTGAGGTATTTTAAGCTTCCTTAATAATTTAGGCATTTATTGAATGGGCTGGGCCAAGAATATTCTCTGCAACTTTGCCAGCCATGAATAGAAGTGTTAATGTACAACAATATTCAGCCTAGCTTAAGAGCAGAAGATGCAAATTAACAAGGATGCTAATTCAAGCCTTGAGTGATGCATGGTAGGATGTACAAAATAGCCCCGTTGAAAAGCATAGATCCAATAGGTACGCTGAGAGAATTCCATCAATGTCAAGGTTATCTTGAGATCTTGAAATGATTTCGGGGCTTAGTGTCCCCGCGGCCCGGTCCTCGACCAGGCCTCCTTTTTGTTAAACATCCCCAGGAAGAAGCCCATAGCAGATGTCTAACTCCCAGGTACCTATTTACAGATAGGTGAACAGGTGCATCAGGGTGAAGAAACTCTGCCCATTTGTTTCTGCCTCCACCGGAGATCGAACTCGGAACCTCAGAACTACAAATCCGAAGCGCTGTCCACCCAGCTGTCAGGCCCCTAAGACTAGAAAAGGGCCCAAGACTTTTCAACACACTCGCCTCTACACATAAGGGGCATAACTAGTCCCCTTATCATCTGTGCTCTAGAGAAAACATTTTCAAAGGATACCTAATTAACCAGGCTGCGAGCAGCTGCGTTAAAACAGCTTGGTTGACCAGAACTAGAAAACCTGGTCAGACACCAGGCCGTGGGAACATTAATACCCGGAATCAAGAACATGTAAACAACAGGCAGTTGGACGAACTCACCTAGGAATAGGGTTGCTGCTAAAATCAGCCACTTGCAGAGCCTTCAGGTTCTTGATGTTGTCGGGGATATCCGGGATGTCTGCGGGAGGAATACACACATTACTAGCATATACACCTTATGTAAATGTACACTCACTCTATTTACAGTTGCTCAAGAATTTGTATGCCCGGCTTGCTCTTCATGAACGTCACTAACTGTCTCACTCATTACTTACAAGCCAATACCTGGAATATGTAGATTGGGCTTTGGAGGCTGCTGTATCACCTGACAGCATAGTCAGAATGTGAGAGTTAGGTCTATATAATATTTAAGTCCAAGTAACCAGCATGTCACAGCTTGGACAACAATTATATACAGTATACTGTATATAATCTTTCAATTCATTCATTTTACAAGTTTTATCTTGTCGATTTGTAAAGTAAATTTGTCTCTCACCTGTTTTCTTACATTTGCAAGGTTAATAACCCAGCTAGGAAGGAAGTAAATCCTTGAATTTTCAACTGTGCATGCTATAGTTCTCAGTGATGCAACACTGACATGTCTACTGTGAGTTCCTGGTAAAAGCACTTTACCATTCAAATATATCATGTCAATGTACATTCACAAATGTCATGGAAGAAAAATGATAGGATGGATAGCAAAATCTTTTCATGCAAGAAATACAAAAAATTATGAAAATTTTAAGGCACTAATACTCTCTAGGGTGAAAAATTGTACACACAGTATTAGCTGCATCTTTAAATTGTACAAATCACATTTACTGCCTGAATCCATTCAGTAAAAACATATTTGAAACTACTAAAATCCCTCAAATAATATCCTCTTGAGCACAAGCCAGATACAGTATACACCATGAACTTTACCTGAACAATATTACAGCAACCAATTTCAAATCTGCAAACTAAAAAAAAAATTCACTTGTGAGACCCAGAGACATGTTAGGGGTGCAATAAGTATACAACCCAGTAAGAAATAACTATATAAATAAGTATCTCAACACTTTTCAACACTCCCTTGAAATATAAGGGGAATTACAGTAAAAGCAAACCGTCAATGGTATTTACAAGAGGTGATAAACTCTTACAGCATGTCCCTATTAGCCAGGCTGTGATGAATAATTCCAGCTGTGAGCTGCAGACTGCCAACAGTTTGGCAGATTAAACTGTCAGCTTAGACACCTGGCCAAATACTGCGACAAAGAGGCACAGACTTTAAGAACCAATACAATGTAGGGTTAGCATGCTAATACTTTACCAGTGAAATTATCATAATGACTGTTGCTCGTGCATTTAAACAGCCACTGTAAGCTGAAAAATAACTGACCAAATGTATTATATACACTTCAAGAACCTTCAGATTACCTGCTACTCAGAATTATTGTTGTTTATCCTACGAGAGAGAGAGGAGCTGGGACCCAGGAATGGTCCGGCTAACAGGAAGCTACCTTGAAGTGTTTTCGGGGCTTAGTGTCCCCGCGGATTGATCGTTGACCTTACCTTCTCGTTGCTGGACTGGTCAACTAGGCTGTTGGATGCAGCTGCTTACAGCCTGACGTATGAGTCACAGCCTGGTTGATCAGGTATCCTTTGGAAGTGCTTATCGAGTTCTCTCTTGAGCACTGTGAGGGGGTCGGCCAGTTATGCCCCTTATGTGTAGTGAAACCGTGTTGAACAGTTTCGGGCTTCTAACATTGATAGAGTTCTCTCTCAGAGTACCCGTTGCACCTCTGCTTTTCAACGGGGGGTATTCTGCACATCCTCCCATGCCTACTTGTCTCATGTAATGTTATTTATGTGTGAAGGTTTGGGACCAGCACCTCTATTATTTTCCACATGTAAATTATTATATATCTCTCCCGCCTGCACTCAAGAGAATACAGATTTAGGCATTTTAGTCGGTCCCAATAGCTTAGATGTTTTACTGAGTGGATTCTAGCAGTAAAGGATCTCTGCATGCTCTCTAGGTCAGCAATTTCTCCAGCTTTGAAAGAGGCTATTATTGTGCAGCAGTATTCCACTCTAGAGAGCACTAGCATTTTGAAGAGTATCATTGGTATAGCACCTTTAGTTTGAAAAGTTCTTGTTATCCAACCTGTCATTTTTCATGCAGTTGTGATGGCTACTTTATTGTGCTCTTTAAAGGTAAGGTCTCCTTTGAGTACACCCAAATCCTTTACATTGCCTTTTCGTTCTATATTATGATTTGACTACAATTTGTACGTGTTTTCTGCCTTTATATTTTCAATTTTCCATAGTGCAAGAGCTGGAACTTATCTTCATTAAATCCCATATTTTCTGTAGCTTACTGAACGACTTGATTTACATCTGATTGGAAATTCACTGTTCTCTATGTTGTCTACTCTCATAAAAATCCTAGTGTCATCTGCAAAGAATGATACAGTACTGTAGATTGCGTCCTTGTCTATGTCCGATATGAGGATCAGAAAAAGTACTGGAGCAGTCACAGTACCCTGGGACACTGAGCTCTTCACTGTTGATGATCCAGATTTTATTTTGTTGACTATTTCACATTGTGTTTTATTAGCTGAAAATTGTTGATACATCTGCCTATTTTTCCGGTAATTCCTTTTGCACGCATTTTGTGTTCAATAACACCATGGTCACATTTGTCGAAGGCAGTTGCGTAGCTAGCGAAGCTAACTAAAGGACAGTTCAGTCCTACTTAGCCTATTTTCTGGAGGCATTGACTATCTGTGCATTATATATCTTGTCTTCCCTGCATATTTCTGTGAGGTCTAGGTTTATTAGTTCCTTGTTAATTATTAAAATTTAATTTGCTAAATTCTGCTGTTACATGCGAGACAGGCATCGCAGGTGTTATTTTAGATTCAACTACTCGGAACAAAAAGTTTCAAACAGCATGGGCTATGGTGAGCCCGTCGTATTTACCTGGCACAGGAGATGGACACAGTGCGAATCTATTGTCTATACTTGTCTGAACTTCGATTGATTGCGGTCATTAGTTCCTAACCAGTTGTAAACATGTCTAGAGTGCTTTAAGTTCTAGTTCCACCTACTACTATTTGCTGGTTTATGGCAATTCTGTTAATATGTAAAGTCTGTATGTATTACATCCAATGATTATACCTTTCTGTATGTAGAAACACGGAGAGAGTTGACCAGGAAAGCATTACGAAGCCGGACGTGAGTATGCACGAACCTGTTCAGAACAGGTGTACAACACCCGTCCCCCGGTGGAGCACCGTTACTGCAACCACTGCAGAAAGCCATAGCGTCTCACCCTCTAATATAATGGCAACAAGCAAGAGCCAGAACCAGGAGACACACACGTAAAGGTAACGAGAACAGTGACGTCAGCACCTGCGTGTAACCACCACCAAAGCAGAAACAAGTATTGTCCACGGCCAGTGCGCCTTTAACGGAGGTTGTCATCTGCTATTGTATCGTCAGTGGTAAGATGGGGGGGGGAAGTCAACTGGGACAGAGTTGGAACAGAGTTAGGACTGAGTGAGGGAACAACTCTACATGAGAACGGGAGGTATGGCAGGATGTGCAAAATAGTCCCATTGCAAAGCAGAGGTGCAATTGGTACACAGCGGGAACTCCTAACAACATTAAGGGTCGAAGACTAAACCTTCTCCCTCTGAACAAAGAGCATAACTGGTCGACCTCTCAGTGTTCAAAGAGAACTTGATAAACACCCAAATGAATTTCTGATCAACCTGGCTGTGATTCATACGTCAGGCTGCGAGCAGCTGCGTCCGATAGCCTGGTTAATCAAACCACCAACTAACTAGGCAGCCTGTCCTCCTATGGTTTCCCAACGTCAAGAAACTGTCATACTAAAGTGACCTCTCCTAACCTACCAGAAGACCCAAAACAGAAAACGGGACAATACATTAATTTCGTAAGCCGCTACCATTTTCTAGTACAATTATTTTTGGCCTTAGGGTGAGTATACAGCACTTAAAAATGAAACGCTTTATTAAGAGGACGGGTTGCCCCTGGAGGCGTGGCCAGAGATCGGCCCGCGAATGTTGTAAATATTTTAATATATCTATTATATCTCATTGTGTCGTTATATCAATTCAACAGTGTCTAATTAAGGCTAGCGTATTGGCACGGGCGCGCGCACACAAGAATAGGCTATTTAAACACTATTTAATAAATATATATATTCTCATAAGTTTTCTGAAGGGCCAGAGCTAATGCTGAAGATTAACGCGCAGATAAAGCATGAATCACACGTTTTCATTACCCGCAAACACCACCCGGTGTCCCGTCCCTATGACCTGTTTCCTCACCAGTCTACACAATCCTAGTCACTATACAATTGTAGTCTCTGGAGATCAACTTGACTCTCAAATTGGTGACTCAATATTAATCGCCTGATAATAGCGCACACATTACTCACGATACCACCTTACACATCCACAAAGTATAGCCCCTTACAATGGAAGGATGAGCTAGAGAAATGTCACATTTGGTACGTCCACACATGGCCAGGTTCTTGACTGCTCGATGCGGGCCTTAGATCAGAGCGGCTTCTCCCACCATCCTTGTGCAGCTCTCACTAACTGTGATATCACCACTAGCCATCCTCAAGATAACTCATTGTGGCTTAGCTTGTCATGACCCACTTACGGCTATTAGCTTCCGGTCATGCCAGGTCACTGAAGTTACTGCTTACTTCTCATAATTGCAGAGGCTCTAAGAGGACTTAACATACACTAGCATCCCATTATTGCCTTCATACCTGGAGCATACATAGAGAGGGTTCTGTGAGATGTTCTTCTCCCCGAGCCCGGCCAGAGGCCAGGCTCGACTTGCGGTAACTTGGTCCAACAGGATGCTGTTTGGAGCGGCCCGTAGGCCCACATGTCCACTACAGCCTTATTGGTCCGGCACTTCTTGCCGGACTTATCTAAGTGCCTCTTGAATATATCCACCTTTGTTCCAGCAAAATTTCTAATGCTTGCTGGGAAGATGCTGAACAGTTGTGGACCTCTGTTGTTCAGACAGTGCTCTCTGAGTGTGACTATAGCACCTCTACTCTTCATTGTTTCTATTCTGCTTTTCATTCCATATCTTTCGTTC